AGCTTCCCCCAACATTTTCCTCCGCCCTGGACAAAACAATGGACAACCGTGTCCGGTTCCGAACCCGAGGTGCGATAGTGTGGACAACGCGTTCCGGATGGGCTAATCCGTGTGTGGGGCCCGCTGACCGGCAGTCTGCGGGGGGGCTAAGCGTGTGTTCGTTCCGGGCTTCTGTTCTTCTTCTTCCTCCCTCCTCCCCGGATAGTCCATCCATGTCTTCGTCCACTTCCACCCCCTTCCGTTGTTTGTATTCCTGTGTACCCATCGCCCGGGCACGAGCCTTGTGTGCGCGGCGGCGCGCTCTGCTGGTGGGGTGGACGCTCTAATCCTAATCACAGCCGCCTGGTCGCCCTCGGCCGTGGTGCGACCGCGCACCATTTCCTGTCTCCGTCTTCTTGTTGGTGTTGCGTAACACCCGGGGCGCCGCTCGTCATTTGGTATTTGGGCGGAATTGTTCCTGTTCTTCCTTGTTTAATGGTTTTTGGTCTTCGACGCTAACCTAATTTCTCTTTCTTTCCGCAAAGGATCTTTGCTAGCTTGCTTTTTTGGCTGCATGTACACGCTGAACTCGATGGCGTAACAGATCAAATTCCGGTTTTTTTCTAGCCCGACCGATGGCCTCTGACTTTCCGCAAAGGCTCTTTGCTAGCTTACCTTTTGGGGTTTTCTTGCTACGTGTACTTGTTGAAATTGATGGCGCATGATTTTCAATTCCGTTTTCTTTCTTAGTTTAACCCAATTTCTCACCTTTCCCCAGACGTTCTTTGCTAGTCAGCCCGAATTTTTAGCGCTGGACTGGCTGAACTCGCTGAACGTGATGGTTCAACCTTGTGAAATTTGATGCTCAGACATTTACATTTTAAAATGCAAGTATCATTTCCGGTCCGTGGCCTTTTTCGAAAATTCCGATAAAAAACACGATAGATCTGCTTGAAATTCGGTGCGAGACGCAATGAATTTGAAGACGCATCGGCGGGAGCTCGAAAAATTCAATAAAGGCCATAGAACGACAGCTGTAGAATTTATTAGGTTGAATCGACCATCTTGGGAGCCGCCATTTAAATGCAAATTTCCGGGTTCCGCCTCTTCCCTTACCTGGTTTTGTAGCGGACACATCTTCACCAGCATTTTGAGCTGCAAATTCTCGAGAGTAGCTTCGGGGCTAAATCCTAACCCCCTACCGAGGAGATAATAGATTCAAGGCTGAAGTGGTGGCGAATGGTGTCATTAGCGGCTCCTCTCTCTCTCTCTCTCTCTCTCTCTCTCTCTCTCTCTCTCCTCTCCGTCTCTCCCCTCTCTCTCTCTCTCTCTCTCTCCCTATCTCGCATCCATACACCCCTCGGGGAATGTTCCACCCTAATCCTAATCACAGACTGCTCACGCGAGAGCCAATTTCCTGTCTCGGGTCATTTCTAGGCTTGATTGGTTTGAATTTGGGATTGACTTTCTCGCCCATATAGCTTGGTTCTAAACATGCTCAGTTCTTGAACAATCGTACTCTATTACCCTGGTCTTAGTTCATTCAAGGGACCATGAAGTGGCGAAATCGACCCTTTCTTTGAATAGGTCTCGACAGCTGCGAACAACCTTCCCTAGCCGTTAAAAAGAACTGTAAGTTGTCGAATTTCCTTGTTCTTTGGGATTCCAGGTTCTCTCCTCTATGAGTTCAAATCTCCGGAAACGAAAGCGCTTTCTCCGATCCGGTCCCTGGGCACCATCTATTCTTTGTATACTTCGCTTTGCTCTCTCTCGCGCTCTCTCCCACTCTCTCTCACACACACTCTCTCTCGCGCACCATAGTTATGACCCGTTAGTTACTATAGTAGCAAAAGTGTCTGTCCTTCTGTCCATCCTTCCGTCCGTTCGGCCGACCGGAGACGCAAAGAAAAGAAGAGCTTTTAGAGCAAAACAAAAAGCTGAAAAACTGGTGTTTTTTCGCCTGTAGCCCCCGGTTTCTGAGTCATTCCCCCAAAAAAAAATCGTAAAAAATAAACCTTAATCTACTATATATAAATTTCTAATGTCCGTACGCCCGCCGACCGACCGGGAATTCAGCCAAATTTTGCCTTCAAATTCAAAATTAAATTGTACAATGCGGGCGGGGAGGCCAGCGCTGAACCCCCGCGTAGCGGGGGGTCAGCGCTGGTTTTTTACTAATTTAACCTACGTTTTTGCTTATTTTTGGTACATGTAATGAAATTCTTTTGGCTCCATATATTTAATTTTTTTTTTCAGCGGCAGCGGTTGGGTGAATGAAATTCTGGATATGCCAAAGCGCGCAAACTACAGCTCGAACTGTGAAAAAATCTGGGTTTGATCGGTTTGCATTATTTTTAATATTTGTCTAGTGGTGGCCCGTTGACGTGTGCGCGGCTACGACATGCATGCAGATGCTCTACACGGTCACCGCCTACGGCAAGCCGTTCGATGTTGCGTTCCGCGGCTGCGGCGAAATCAAGAAGGGCATCGACTGGGGATTCGTGAGAGGTGTTAATTGTGAGGGTTATGGCACCGCTAAAGCAGTTCAAAACTAAAAAAATGTAGTTTAAAAGAAAATGTCGAAATCTGGTAAATTTAAAACATTCAAATTCCAAAAATTTCGAATTTTTGTCGTTTTAGGGTTAAAATTAACGATCTTGTTAAAAGATTTTATAATGGGCGCGCATAATTCAAAGTTAACCCCTTACAAACGTAATAAAAAGGGTCAATTTCAAAATTTATTAAATCCAAGATTCTCAAAAATTAAAATTTGCAATTTTTTAAAGGAATTAAAATAACAGAATAAAATTGAAATTGTTAGCTCAAACTAATCGAAATCTGAAACATTAAAAAGAAACGAAAAAAATCAAAACTAAGATAAAAATTCCAGATAAAAGTTTAGAATATGGAAACCATTTATAGTCACGATGTACATGCACGCGTGCGAGGGTCCGCTGTGCAACAAGTTGTCGCCGCAGGAGCTGAAGGACGCCACTTGGGAGGGAACCGAAACTAATGACTCTAATAACATCAGTAACACCGTGATTTAATTAGATTTTATGAAATATACCGGAACCTTTTTTTATTGTAAGAAACCAATAAACCGATTCTGTTGCCTTTGTTCTGCGCGTCTCAACAATTTACGAGGCAATTTTTTAATACGTTCCGATTAAAGGCTTTTTAACAAAAAAACGAAGTTAGCTCCACGCTGCAAAACAATGGTTAAAATAAAAATCACAAAGTTTTTGAAAATAATTGGTTCTGGACTGTTAGCGCGGGAGCGATTTTTGCAACGGGCAAATCATTTTTGGTTTTCCACATATCTAATTGATAATATATAATATATTCTTATAGTCGTTGAGTAGTTTTTGCTAGCTAGAAAGTTGTAGAAAATAATAAAGAATTTTTTCCAAATAAGATGCATTTTTTCCTAAACCTATTCCGAAGCTTTTTATGTTCATTAAAGGTGGATGAATTGTCGCTATGCTGCGTTAATTAGCTCATCACCGATTTATTCATATCACAAATGTAATTCAGAAAAGGTAAGGATATTGGCAATAATGGCTGTGGTGATGGGGATGAGAATGGTGATTGTGCTGCCGCCGGCCTCCTTCAGCTCGGCCACTGTCAGGTCGTTGCAAAGATGGCCCTCACAGGTCCTCACCCAGGTTTCTACTGCAAAAAATAAAGTCGCTGAGGCCCTGGCGCAAAAGAATAGCGTTCCTATAGCGCTTCGTTATAATGACTCACTGCCAGCTTCTTCGCCTTCCCTACATCGTGCATAGCGCTAACGTGCCAGTCCTTATCCAAGAAACCATGCGGCACGCAATTCCGGAACGTGGAACTTCGTGTTGTGGTCTTTCTCAGAGTGGTACTGGATGCACCTGTCAGACGAGCACTTCTTCGTGGTCCCCTAAAAATGAGGTAACAACTTGCTGTAAAGTGTTTTACAGAGGCCGGAAATTCCATTCGAGACCTAGCCTATCAAGTGCGGAATTGTCCGCTGATTCCGAATTTGTTTTCAAAGTTGCCGAGGAGACCTATTTCAAAGTTACAGCTGTTTTTGTTGCAAACTGCCTGAAATGGTCGATTTTAAATCCGTTTAAAATATCTTAGAATACTTTCTGCAAATAACATCCTCGATAGTCTGCCGTACAAAATTATGCTCTTCGGAATGAGCCATCTCACGGAACTGTAACTCAAAATTTTTCTAATTCGACTCATTTTTGAGCTTATGCCATCCCGGCCACACTGCTCTGGCCTTCTGCCCCTTACCCCGATAAAACCCCCTTTGATCAGTTTTAAGTTACGGTTCCGTAAGATGGCGCATCCGAAAGCGCAAATTTTTCTACCACTGGGTCTGTGTTTATCCAAAGCGTATTCTACAAGATTTTTGGTAAGATTTAGGATCGACCGTTTCGAGCCAGATACAAAAACAGCTGCAACTTTGAAACTGGGCTCGCAAAAAAATTCAGCACAAAATAGGATTAGGTCTCAAATAGAGTTTCCAGCCTATGTAAAACACTTTACAATGAGGCTGCACAATCACCACCTGCAAGATCGTGCAGTCCCATGAAATGGTGGTGATGCCTCCGATGAGTTCAGCCCACGTCTCGCTAAACGATTGTCTGCTAGTCCGATTTCAACGACGCAACACAAGGCGGTAAAGGAACCCACGTCTCCTCCAGCATATCTGTAACGAATCCTTCACCCCCCTGCAGGCACTGGTAGCAATCCGCCGTGCCCACGTCGAGCAGATAAAAGCCTAGGAGGCAGGTGAACAGCAGCAGAACCGGAGCGCGGGCCGACATTTTGAAGAAGTGCGCAAAGAATCCGCGTAACCAGCCGCATTTGTGCGTTCGATGCAAATTTCCGGCATCCAAACAAGCAGTTTGACAGAACGCGACAAAGCCAACTTACTGAAACAAGTGCCCGCCCGCATACGATGCACCCGTGCTAAGTCGAATCTGTTTATTCAAGAAATTTCAACAACAGTAACAAAACACGTAAAAGCATGATTAGAGGCGACGTCCGCGATGACCTCCCTTCCTTCGAGTGCTGTCGGACGGGATCGGGGTCACGTCTTCGATGCGGCCGATCTTGATTCCGCTTCGGGCGAGAGCGCGCAGGGCGGATTGGGCTCCTGGTCCGGGCGACTTGGTGCGTGTGCCGCCGGTGGCTCGGATCTTGATGTGGAGCGCGTTGATGCCGAGCTAAAAAACAAAGTATAGCATGGATCCAAGCACCAAAAAATCACATAACACGCACGAGCACGGTCTCTTTGCAACCGCAACCCCAACAAAGTTCATCAAAAAGTACCTGTTTGCAGCGTTCTGAAACGTCTTGGGCGGCGAGCATAGCAGCGTAGGGCGAAGACTCGTCACGGTCGGCCTTGACTTTCATTCCACCAGTGACCCGCACGATCGTTTCGCGGCCTAAGTTAAAATGTCAATGAATGAACACAATAAATTACCGGAAATATCGGTGACGTGGACGAAGGTGTCGTTGAACGAGGCGAAGATGTGCGCGACGCCGAAGACGTTCTCACCCTCGCGCGCTTGCGGGCCCAGGGCGACGACGGGCTGCTCCTCCTTGGTCTTGCCCTTGCGTGCTGGAGCCATCTTCTTTTTGTCTAAATGAAAGCTGTAAAAAATTTTCCGCAAAGTAGCGCCGAATATCGGAGATATTGACCGGAAACCAATCCAGTAATAAAGATAAGGGCAATGGTTGGAGACCATGACTTTATTCAAAGGAGAGTCAAAAGATCAACAAGTATTTATTCACAACACAAAACAACAATTTAAAACGGGTATTTGTCGGGTTCACCATTGGTTGACCGCGGGGGCTTGTCCCCATTCTTGACCGGCCGGCTGGCCATTCCAGTTGTCAGCGTTGGCCTCGGCCGCCCAGTCCTTGATATCCGGGGCAGCGGTGAAGTCGAGTGGAACCTCGGTGGTGATGGCTTCTTGTTGACCGGCCTCGAATTCTTCGGCGGCTTGCTCCTTCTCGATCTCGGCTGGGTCGCGGAAGAAGTAGAGATCCGGCATGATCTCGGTGTTCTCGATCAGGAACGGTCCATCACGAGACACCTTGCCACGTAGGATGAGCACCTCGCGAGCGAGCAGCCACCACATCAGACCAACAGCCTGCGCGGCCTAAAAGGAAACTATAAACAATTCGGTACTTATCAAGTTGGGGGGGGGGCCACTTTGGTTTTCGACTTTTTGAGTCTTTCTAGGCTAGTTTTTTGTGCTGGTTCCGAATATAACAAAATCAGAGTAGTAAAACATCATTATCTAAACGTTTGTTAAGAGTTAGAGTTTCAGCTACCCAGTTTGAGCCTAAAAATAAGGCTTCGTGCCACCCGGGGCCTAGTCGCTTCGGATGGGTGCGAGCTCGTACAGGGTTTCGAAATCGGGGCGCCCGAGGACTAGCGCGAATTTCCACAACGGCGGATGTGGCACAGGTCGCGCAATAGCAAGCAACCGTTCAAAAACCGAATTCCATGTCGTAATTCAGGGTTTTTCTTTTCGTAAAACTCAAAGGAATGTTTACAAATGAAATATTTATCGAAACGGAACAACAAAAACAACAAATATTTTATAGAAACGAACAATAACAACTTTTTCAACCATTTTCAACAAGGTTCACCTCGGCTGCTTTCTTCTTTGCCCGTTCCTGCGCCAGAAATGCATTACGTGCCTTTTTACTTTCAAGTCTATAATTTTCAGAAGCTTCTCTGATTGGGGTATTTTTCGGCTTGGTGATTCTTGCCAGCTTTTCGTGCTTCTCTTCAGCTAGGAATTCTTTCATCTGATTTGACAGATAGTCGTTTAGAGCCTGGATCTTGTCGGTGTTGCCTGAGGAGCGGATGACAAACTGCAAAGCAGTCAGCGTCTGTAAAAAATCTTTTAGATATGGTCTCGGAGTTACATTCTCGCATTCCGTAACAACTTGACGGTGTTGCTCTTCGAGGGTGTCCTTGACGACAATTGGCTCGGCTCGGTCAAATTCAACGGAATGCTCTTCGTTATCGGTGGGCCTATAATTCTTATTGGACTTTTTAGATTAGCCTCACAGCGGTAGTGGGACGTAGACGTCAAGGACGTCATAGTCATCAAGTGTTGAGAGACGCGCTGTAAAAGTTTGTATTTGTTTGTTTATCAACTTACGGTTCTGGATATGGATGGCATGTTGATGTTTGCAAGAGACGCCAGCCATCGTGCTCGACATACACTGGCAAACCCAGGAATATGGGCAGGCGCCGCAGTCTCGGCAGTGCAAGTTTTTCGTTTTCTAAAGGAATCATAATCAGGCTTCAAGACTTACGTCGCATGGACAAGCGCAAATCCGGACAACTTTATATTCCTTCTTCGGTTCTTTGCTCGAAGGGACCCGGCCGAATGTCTCATTTTCTATCAGCAGGGCGTGGTGCTGATACTCTTGGACGGCAAGCTTGTGACGACGGTTGTTTTCCTCCTGACGCCGACCCGACGTGGAGAAACGAGCGTCTAACACCATCAAATGGGTATAGTAGCGAAGCGGATATTCGCTTAGCAGCGTCACCAGTGAGTCGACCCGAGCGTTCCTTTTTCCGGCAAGCAATTCACTTTTAAGGCGGTGATGCCACGCTTCCGCTGCCATAGAAGTTGTAAATGGAGCTGTGAAACGGGCCCAGCAAGCCCATTCAATTGCGCGCGCCACGTGGCAGCCCTGAAGCGTGCTTGTAGAACGTATCGAGCTACTTACCTCGAAGTAGTCGAGGAATTCGTCTTCCTGGTTCGCTTTTAAAGTGCTTCGGATGAGGTCGAGTTGTTTTTTGAATTCGCTCTTGCTATTTAGATAGAACAACATCCTCAGTTCGCTCATAAGAGCCTCGGCGATAGATTTCTACAAAAATTTACCATTATCGTCCGTATGCCTTACGTTTTTCAGGCGCTTCAGGTTTCGTTTCAGAGTCTGCATCTGATGCCAGCGACACAACAACTAATGGCCCCGGTCTGCGGGAATACGTTGCAATATGCCGCCCAAAAGTTTGCATCGTCATCCGTCATGAAGAATTCTGGTGCAAAGTTTGGATCGGCTCGTCTGAAAATTAATTGGAAGCGATTTCCGTAGGTTTAGGCTTACTTTATAACTTGGAAAAGTTTCTCGAGGTCTTCAACTCTTAGTTGTGCTGAGATCATGAATGCCACCGGAAGGCCACGCCCGTATTCATCAATTACGAGCGCCGTGGTCAAGCGAAGCGTGTATTGGGTAATTCCGTGGGTGTCGTCCAGCACGCAGCCCTTTTTCCCATATTTGATAAGCCAGTTTCTCTGTGTCTTGGTCATGATAACTAAAACTAATAGTTTAGAGCGCAGCTGAAATTTACCAAGGCAGAAGCCGTTTGCGTTTGGTGGCTGTAGAGGCGCGGAATAGAACTGTATATCGGTTCCAGCTGTTGAGACAGCTTCTTCCACCGACAACAGGTCATTCTTATGTAGACGACCACGAGTAAGGTTGAATTTCTCCATGACCGTGTTGATATCTTGTTTCGTTATATAGAAGTCCAGGCAGCGCGGCTCTTCGCCATTCAGAATCTCGGATTTGAATGGAGCCCGCAGACGTTCAATGATTTTGGTAGGTTCGAGGCCTAAAACATAGCTGTCATACTATAGATCCATACCCATTTCCAGAAAGTATAGCACTTTGTCCTCAGTTACAGATCCGGCCCTTCGTAGCGCGCGAACATCTGGATCATGATTGTGCGCTGAGCAATATTGCACACTGATAACGCCATCGTCCCCGGTTGTCACCTGGATCAGCATTAATAAGTATTGAGTGATAGCGCTTTACACTTGATACTTCGCTTACTGGAATCAAACGTCTTTTCAGAACTTACATTTAAGTACGCCGTACAGTTGGTACACCCTTTCGAGCTAGGGGTTTTCTTCGCTGGCGGTGATTTGACTTCCATACCACTATAGCTGCATCGGAAGTGGCGTCGGTTCTTGGAAGACGAGCGAATCGAAAAGGAGGCAAACGACTCATGCTCAAGATTCTTCAACCAGCCGGCGAATTCGGCTTCTGATTGCAATACAACCACAACGTTTTCGAACCTAAATCGATATATCATTTTAATATCTCATACCTGTCTCGATCATGCTGCTCCCTCGCATGCTCAACCAGTTTCTGGTGGGTATAGAAACCCTCATCACATTCCGAACACATAATCGAGGGCTCTAGATGTGTGGACGACCCAGCATGCTTTTTTCTTTCATGTTCACGGAGACTTTTCAGAGTTGCGTATTCTTTGGGACAAATACTGCATGCAAATCCATCGGCCACTGGGACCTTTTGCGTCTCCGGCATATATAGTCCGTGGTGCTGAAGAGCATGCCTGCGCAAAGTGGTCTGGAATGGCGTGGTGTAGTCGCACGACAGTGACGGACAAGCGAGCTCCTTTCGAGACATCTAAAGTGAGCATTAGGCATTAGAGTTTCTGGCTTTTCAAACGTGCTCCAAGTAATAAATCTACAGAACGGATAATGAGGTATGAAGAAGAAAGAAGACGCCGAGGTGAACCTTGTTGAAAATGGTTGAAAAAGTTGTTATTGTTCGTTTCTATAAAATATTTGTTGTTTTTGTTGTTCCGTTTCGATAAATATTTCATTTGTAAACATTCCTTTGAGTTTTACGAAAAGAAAACCCTGAATTACGACATGGAATTCGGTTTTTGAACGGTTGCTTGCTATTGCGCGACCTGTGCCACATCCGCCGTTGTGGAAATTCGCGCTAGTCGCCCGAGGAGCGCGAAGCGCCCAGGCGCCCCGATTTTGAAAGAGTGGAGCGGCAGCCCATCCGAAGCGACGGCCCGCCTTGCCTGACGATGCGGCATGCCCAAATTGTGCATAAGTCCACTTTTTATTAATAAATTTTTTACGCTGTTTTTCTGGATAAACCCAACGGTTTGACATGCTGTTGCGACTCTAATCGCATTCAGCGTAAAAAACTACCCCAGAAAGACTCGAAAAAGCGATAAAAAAGTGTCTCCTAATAGGTACCCAAAGTGGCCGCCCCCAACTTGATAAGTACCAACAATTCTATGTAATGTTTACCTTGTTATTGCACGGAATGGCGATGTCGATCAACTTCAACGGCGAATCCGAGTTGGTGAACGCGATGATCGGCACGTTGGCGTACGAAGCTTCCGTGACGACCTAACAAAGACAGTTATGAAACATAAAAAAAAGCTTTTTGAATACCTGATGGTCGATTCGGGGTCAGAGATGATGATAATGCGCGGCTCCTTGAAGTTCTTCTGGATTTGATTAGTGAGCGCGCCCGGGGCGAAACGGCCAAAGACCGGGGTAGCTCCTGTGTGCGCAGCATACTTCATCAGGGCTCGGTGGGCGAATTGACGGGCCGAGACGACGATCACATCGGCCGGGTTCTCGACAGCGGCGATGGCGCGCGCGGCCAGCAGCAGCTTCTCCCAGGTTTGCTTCAAGTTGATGATGTGGGTACCTGAAATTAAACATTGAAAACGAAATGCAAAACGCGTTCAGCCCGTTCGAGCTATTTTCAAACAATCAAAAAATGAAAGCATTCCAAAAACACACCGTCAGCGCGTCGTGCGTAGATGTACTGCTCCATTTGATGGTCGACGTTCGTCGTGCCGATGTGCGTGTAGGTGGCGAGGAGCCTCACCACGTCATCCTGCACCAGGCTCGAGCTCTCGTGTCCGCCGGACATTGCTGAAAGCAAAAAAATTGTGAAAAATCATAAAAACAGAAGAAACTAGGTCCAGCAAAATGACAGCGCAAAAACAGGGAATTGTCAAGCACAGCGGAAGATGAGCGCGTCAAACCCGGCAGGAAGTTAAAGCTAATAAAACGAAAAAATAATTTAAATTTCGTAAAAAAATGAAAAAAAATTGGGAGAGTTTTAGGATCGAAAAAGAGGAAAAGAGAAACGCGACCGAAAATCGAAAACGCCGGCGCCCGGCGATTACCGTATGAAAGTCCACGGGATTGCTGCAGGCTAGCAATCGTAAGTGCGTAGTGTGTCGGAACGAACTATGATTAAAAAAAATTAAATTTTGAAAATACTTTTTACAACAGAATAAAAAGATCATGTTTTAGCTGTAAGTCTAAACAAAGCAAAGAAAAGTGAAGAAGAAAGTCATGCGCTTGGCCTTCTTTCCTCTCTCCTTCAAGTTGTGGGGTTTCAAGTATGTATTTGTTACTTTAAGAACTTGAAAAAGCTAGAAGTTTTAGTGTTGAAGCGAATGATTCGTTAAAAGAGTAATATCCAGCTGGAAAGCAAGATATTTTTGCCTATTTATCGAGTTTTTGCCTGATTGGAAGGCCGCTAGTTATACTATTTTGCCAGCTTTAATTTCTTTTTATAATGGCTTCTTTTTTACTATTATTTTCTATCTTTTCTGGTGAAAGTACAGGGTGTCCCAAAAAATCGACCCCCCTAGCGGGCCGCAGCATGTCCGATGACGATTTAGGTATCTATCAAAGCACCGAAAAGGCAGAAAACAAGCACTTCGTTTTCAAATGGAATTAATTCATAAATTTAGGGCAAAATCGATGAAAACGCAGAAGCAAAATCGGCATGTAATTGCTTGCTAAAGCAAACAGGACGATGCTGGTTTACGCTTACAGAAATCATTGAATACGAGCGAAGGCAAAATTTTGGAAAACCAAAGGGCCTTTTTTCACCGTTGAAGGGCTTTCGAATGGGTGAAAACACCAACCGAGCTCTGCGGTCCGCTAGAGGGGGGTCGATTTTTTGGGACACCTGTAGTGTCATTTTCGCCTCAAAACAACTAGTATTTATGTATTTTTCACCCTTGCCCAACCTCCGCATTTGCCCAGCTCTCGCCGCTTTACGGCAGCCTAGCCGCCTGACATTTCTACTCGAGCGGATACGGCGGAACAGGCCCTCAAGGTTGTCAGGATGCGGTAAGGAGTAGGAAGAGGCAGGGGAACAAGCGCAAAGACGTCCCGGCAAGCATTTGGGAGCGGAGATCCAGATTGTCGCGCATTTATGCCCCTGCTCGCCGCCCGGTGGCATCGGCTTCTTTTTACCCGAATAGTAGCAGACGGAGAGAAAGAGAGTGGCTGCATTTCCCGCCGAGGACTAACATTAGCCTAAACAGTCCCCCGGCGTGACGTGTCGAGCAGTTGGCCATTTAGTTTTTGCGTCCTTGCCTTTTCTCCCTTGCGATGGAGTCTGGTTTTGCTAGTCCAACCGAACGGTAGCGGTGCTGTGTTGCGTTCTAGCGCCTAGATGTTAGGCTTTTCGTTTGATGTTGATCGTGGTGTTATGTCACGTCTGACGTTAGATCGGCTCTGCGCTATCGAAGTTGGCATTGATAACCAATACCTAATGGCCCGGGTTTACGTGGGTTCAGTCCCATTTCTCTTCCCGGGTAACTGGTTAAAAGTTATATTTCTTATAGGGTGCCTTTTTAGCTTGTTTTTAGCTACCACTGAGCATAAAATCTACAAATTTTCATGAAGAGTTCAATTCAAGGTAAAAATTTTGAATTTTTCGACGAGAAATGCCGAAATTTTAGACTTTTTGTGATCAATTTCTGCTTTTCAACGTTTTTCTGCTTCTACTATTGTTAAAGTTTGCTAAAAACAATAGAAAAGCGCGCTATAGTTGCTTACTAGGCCAACTTTCCACAGGAAAAATTCGACACCCCGGAATTGCGTGGCAGTTTGGAAACCAAATCCTTCATTTTCTTATTTTTTTGCTTATAAGTCACGCCAAAACCCTCGACTTCAGCGATTCTATGGCAAAATACTTATCACGTACCGTGTTTTCCATTTTGTACACACCCCCTGAAGCGCACTTATGCAAGCCGAGTGGCCGTCACGGTTTCGCTACCACTTTTGCGGGGTGAACCGTGGGGAATTTGCCATTTTCTGCTTCGGTTACCGTGCCATTCGGCGCGATTTGACTTTTTGTTCGGGTGTGCGGTGTTGTCGGAATTGAAATTTTCTGGAATTCCCGACTTTGGTTTTCGCTGAAGGCAAGTGCTAGGTGGAATAGAATTATTTTGCATACCCCCCGCTAACGAACCAGAACCGAGTTTAAATAGAAGATTCAACTTTTGTAAAAGTCGGTTACGTTTCAAGCTTCAAGTCCCCCGTTCAGCTTCCCCCAACATTTTCCTCCGCCCTGGACAAAACAATGGACAACCGTGTCCGGTTCCGAACCCGAGGTGCGATAGTGTGGACAACGCGTTCCGGATGGGCTAATCCGTGTGTGGGGCCCGCTGACCGGCAGTCTGCGGGGGGGGGGCATAAGCGTGTGTTCGTTCCGGGCTTCTGTTTCTTCTTCTTCCTCCCTCCTCCCCCGGATAGTCCATCCATGTCTTCGTCCACTTCCACCCCCTTCCGTTGTTTGTATTCCTGTGTACCCATCGCCCGGGCACGAGCCTTGTGTGCGCGGCGGCGCGCTCTGCTGGTGGGGGTGGTGGACGCTCTAATCCTAATCACAGCCGCCTGGTCGCCCTCGGCTGTGGTGCGACCAGCGCACCATTTCCTGTCTCCTTCTTCTTGTTGGTGTTGCGTAACACCCGGGGCGCCGCTCGTCATTTGGTATTTGGGCGGAATTGTTCCTGTTCTTCCTTGTTTAATGGTTTTTTGGTCTTCGACGGCTAACCTAATTTCTCTTTCTTTCCGCAAAGGATCTTTGCTAGCCTGCTTTTGGCTGTGTACGCTGAACCGAGGCGTAACAGATCAAATTCGGTTTCTAGCCCGACCGATGGCCTCTGACTTTCCGCAAAGGCTCTTTGCTAGCTTACCTTTTGGGGTTTTCTTGCTACGTGTACTTGTTGAAATTGATGGCGCATGATTTTCAATTCCGTTTTCTTTCTTAGTTTAACCCAATTTCTCACCTTTCCCCAGACGTTCTTTGTTTTTGCTAGTCAGCCCGAATTTTTAGCGCTGGACTGGCTGAACTCGCTGAACGTGATGGTTCAACCTTGTGAAATTTGATGCTCAGACATTTACATTTTAAAATGCAAGTATCATTTCCGGTCCGTGGCCTTTTTCGAAAATTCCGATAAAAACACGATAGATCTGCTTGAAATTCGGTGCGAGACGCAATGAATTTGAAGACGCATCGGCGGGAGCTCGAAAAATTCAATAAAGGCCATAGAACGACAGCTGTAGAATTTATTAGGTTGAATCGACCATCTTGGGAGCCGCCATTTAAATGCAAATTTCCGGGTTCCGCCTCTTCCCTTACCTGGTTTTGTAGCGGACACATCTTCACCAGCATTTTGAGCTGCAAATTCTCGAGAGTAGCTTCGGGGCTAAATCCTAACCCCCTACCGAGGAGATAATAGATTCAAGGCTGAAGTGGTGGCGAATGGTGTCATTAGCGGCTCTCTCTCTCTCTCTCTCTCTCTCTCTCTCTCTCTCTCTCTCTCTCCTCTCCGTCTCTCTCCCTCTCTCTCTCTCTCTCTCTCTCTCCTATCTCGCATCCATACACCCCTCGGGGAATGTTCCACCCTAATCCTAATCACAGACTGCTCACAGAGCCAATTTCCTGTCTCGGGTCATTTCTAGGCTTGATTGGTTTGAATTTGGGATTGACTTTCTCGCCCATATTAGCTTGGTTCTATTTTAAACATGCTCAGTTCTTGAACAATCGTACTCTATTACCCTGGTCTTAGTTCATTCAAGGGACCATGAAGTGGCGAAATCGACCCTTTCTTTGAATAGGTCTCGACAGCTGCGAGAAACACCTTTCCAGAAAAAAAAAAACATTTGCGAAACAGGGGACTTCCCTAGCCCTTTAAAAAGAACTGTAAGTTGTCGAATTTCCTTGTTCTTTGGGATTCCAGGTTCTCTCCTCTATGAGTTCAAATCTCCGGAAACGAAAGCGCTTTCTCCGATCCGGTCCCTGGGCACCATCTATTCTTTGTATACTTCGCTTTGCTCTCTCTCGCGCTCTCTCCCACTCTCTCTCACACACACTCTCTCTCGCGCACCATAGTTATGACCCGTTAGTTACTATAGTAGCAAAAGTGTCTGTCCTTCTGTCCATCCTTCCGTCCGTTCGGCCGACCGGAGACGCAAAGAAAAGAACCCTATGAGGGGATAAATGTGTCAGCCTGAACAGTCAGCAGTAGAAGAAGAAGAAGGAAGAAACGAGGAAGGGGCTCCCGTTTAGCACCTCCATTCAACAACCAAATGACGGGGGAGGGAAAGTAGCCCCTCATCTTGAGCTGTTATTAGATTGGTTGATGGGGAGGAAGGGCGTAGGCTATTGGGCGATACTTTTGGCAGTATTGTAGCTCGTACGTTTTCCTATTCCAAGGTTACTTTTTGGGAGTAGTAGCTGCGTGCGAGTCTGACCCAAGTTTTTGCCAAGGGTTTTACAAGCCTTGGTTATGTATGCAAGCGGGAGATTCTGTGCGAATACTCACAACGAGCCCCGCGAAGTTGTAGTAATAGCTATTTTCCGAGGATTTTCGTACGTTTTGGCAGTAAGCAGGAGCTATCGGCCTTGAGCTAGCGAAATTCAATATTTTTCGATGGCTACTTGTCATTTTTGGGCCCAAGGCTAAGCTGTTTCTGCACCGTTTCGATACCTTTGGAATTTGTAGGCGCTAAGGAGGGCTGAAAGCTTAGATTCTGACCTCTCAGACGCTCAAAATTGTGGAAATCGCAGCTATAGCAGACTCCACGCCTGTTTACAAACAGATACCATACCCTACA